GCCTCCCCTCCCTCCCCCTTTTTTTTTTCCCCATCCCAGTGTGACATTCCCAGCGGTTTCGGCAGGGAGCTGTGGAATGTCTCCTGCTCCTGCCGGGGCCCACCTGAACAAGACAGGCATTGATGGAGAGCGTTTGGCTCAGCCACACACAGACAGGGAGGGCTCTCTGGTTTGGTCCCTGACCCCACAGGGGGAAGAAATAACAGGAGGAAAATGGGAACATCAAACAGAGCCCGGCCCGGCTTTCATCTCCCCGGCACGGTGTGGAGGTGGGGCAGAGGGAAGTTGAGGCTCTGGGGCTCCTGTGTGGGGGAGCCATATCCTGCGCAGTGCCAGTGCCTCCAGCATCCTACACCGCGTAGGCTGGTGGTGCAGGACAGAAAGGCCCTGAGGTGCTGTGAATTTGGCCAGTGCAGGTGGCCTCTGCCTGTTGCAGGAATGTGAAAGCCCCTCCCAGCCTTGTCCCACAGGCATCCATGAGCAAACTGGCTGTGGATGTTCACGCAGGGCCTGTTTGTGTAGGAGCAGAGGTTGCACGGTTGTGGAGAGCTCCCTGTTGTCCTGCATGTGCTGTGTGTACACCAGGTTGCCACAGAAGCCTGCGGCAGTATGGTTTCACCCCGGGGCATGGGCATTGCCTTCAGCTGCTCTGGGTGTTGGCAGAGCAGAGATGCCACCAGTCTGCAGAGATGGTGCCCTCCTGGAGGAGGGCTCTGCCTCATGGGGTTTCTCAGCCCGTGGGTCGCCCTCCATCCACCACCGGGGCACTCAGCAGGTAGCTGGAGCCCGGGGCCCTGCTGAGCTGTGCCTGTCCTGAGCTGCCACTGTCACCAGCAGCCTGGCCGGGGCCACCCATGCCCGTGAGTGACTGTGGGTGCTTGTCTCCCAGCAGAGAATCCGCAGGGCCCGGTTCCCACCCTCTGGAACGAGCCACCCGAGCTGCCCTCCGGAGCTGGCCCCTTCGATGCTGCCACCACCACAGCCCGGCTCTCAGATGCCACCGCCTTGCCCCCATACACCTCCGAGCTGGAGCCCGAGGACACCACCCACCTGCACCGGCTGGATGCCGGGGATGGTATGTGGCTGCGCAATGGGCTGCCTGCGGGTTGCTCCCACAGCAGCCTGGCAAGTCCTCACTGTGGAGTTGCTCTTTATGGGCCTGTCACCTCCCAGGAGGTGTTTGAGCTACCAGAGGTGGCCTGTCCCCAGCCACACTGCTCTGGCAGGGGGCTGACGAGGCCTTTCCTCCTGCTTGGGTCTGACACGTCACAGCAGGCACCAGCAAGAAGTGCCTTGAGCCCAGGTAGGCTCCAGGGCGAGAGCGTGCTCTTTAAATGGGGAGTGTGAGCCCCTTCCTGGCTCCTAACTACAGCAAATGCCTGTTGTGATGTGGTTCTGCAACAAGCAAAGCAACTCCCTCGGTGCAGGTGTAAGAGGAAAGCCGAGTGCCAAAGAGCTCCTTTGTGGTAGCTGTCCTTGTCACTGGGAGCTGGCTAAGGGCCGAGTGGCTCGCTCCAGCCCCCTGCACAAGGACGCGATGCCACTGGGGCGCAGGACCACACCTTGGCTGCGTGGGAACATAGGAACAGGGCCACCATGACCATTGCAGGGAGCTCCAGGGCAGGAATGTGCCCCGATGGCTGGGGATGTGCTGGGTTTGGGGGGTAATCCCATAGCCCTTCCCATCTGGGACCCACCGACTCTGCTGACCTCACGCCATCTTGTTCTCTGTCCCTGCAGGCTCACTGGGGCCCGGAGCTATCGGTGCCATTGTCATCGCCTCCCTCCTGGGTACATCTGTGCTTGTGGCCTTGGTCGTCATCACACTGAGAAAGTTCTCGGCCTCCTGAACTCAATAAAAGCTTTTTCTGTAACACAACCAGCCTGTCTTCTGCCCTCAGCTGCTCCTGCTCCCCATCTGCCTGGGACCCCCTGGGGAGACATGCAGCAAAGGGCACTCCAGCCTCTGTGCTGGGCAGCAAAGCTGCACCCCGAAGTGCTCCTTGCTCTTAGCATGCGGATCCCCTGGGTGCACGCAGACCTGGCAGGCTCGACCACAGCAGGCAGTGTCACCCCCGCAGTCAGGAGGGACCTGCAGCAGTGAGTGTCTGACTGGCAGCAGCTCTCTTGGTCTAGCCTGGGTGGCAGCAATGGTGTTGGGTATCGCCTTGCACAGCTTTCCTTGGGAAAGGGTTGTTCAGTTGGTGTAAACCACCCCGATACTTTCCTGGTCTCACCCCACCCCATGTTTATGTTCAGCCCCACTTCCACCCCCTGTGTTTGGGTCAGTTGCCCCCCACCAGTCACACTGGAGGGGACTGGGGAGGAGGCGAGCGGTTGGTATGGGGGGAGGAAGAAGGCACACGCGTGTTGCTTTGGTGCTGGCTTGCTCAGCTATATTTCATCACACAGAAAAACGAGACAACAAGAACTTCCCCTCAGTTCGCTGAGGCAACCCGGTGGGGGCTGGGGGGGCTCCAGCCCATGCTTGTGGGCCCCAGGCCTGGCCCTGTACAACACTTGAGACCATTGAAACGGAGGCGTGCAGGGCTGGGTCTGAGGAAATAACACTGGATGCCACTTGGTGCCTGAAAATGGCACAGCCTAGCCTGTGCCTAGGTTTTGGAGTCCTAAAAAGTCACAACAGAGCAAGAGGGTCTGGGGCATGGGACGGTGTACGGCAGCCCTGGGCCCCTCTCCCCCCAGAAAAACGCAGTGAAGAGCCAGCGTCCTGGCACCGGGGAACCTGGGCCAGCCCGTCCACTAGCGAAAGAGCCGTTTCTGATGGGTAAGGGAGCATTTCTGTGCCTTGAGAAACATCCCAGGCGGGTGTGTGGGGCTGTAGTGCCTGGGCTGGGCTGGCCACTGTGCTGTGAAGCTGGAGAATCTGGATGTGGCGATTTCTCAGGTAATTTTAAGGACTTCTACAGCTGGAGCTTCTCTGGGTTTTGCTATAGAGAATTTCTGGCTGCTGCAAGGTCTGGACCCTGAGCTGGAGGTTTGGTTGTACTCAGAAAGCTGACTGTGGGGTGCTGTTGGGGGGATCTGACTTGAGGTCTCCCCATTAAATGATCTCAAAATACCCGACTGGAGGCTGTCGTCCCTTCCTGGCCCCCTGCTCCAGGCTGGGGGCTGGCAGGTGGCCGGGAGCCTCCAGCTGGTGCAAGCTGCCCGTGGGCCCTCTCTCAGGAGTGCTACAGGTGGCTGGGGCAGGCACAGCCCTGCTGGCTGTTGTCACGTGCTAACATGGTGGCACAAAGCTAGGCCTGAGGGGGGAACCCCTTTGCTCTCCCTTCACTGCTGTGGCTCCCACTAGTTTGGTCCTGGGGGCTGGCTGCAGCCCCCCCCCAGTGCAGGGCTGACTCCAGGCCAGCTATCCCAGGGCTGTGGCGACAGTATGGACAGCCCCGAGGACAGCCCTGGCCTTCCCTCAGCTGGGTCCGGCCTCACGCCACACCCCCACATGTAACCTGGGCCCCATGTGGCCCAAAGAGCAGCTCCAGCGCAGCGCCCTAGAGCCCCCCTCCAGCGGCTCCCCGGCATCCTGCTTCCTTCCCACGCTGCCATCAGCATGGCCGTGCTCCTCCACTCTGTGCGCATGGCTGGTGCATGGCTCTGTTGGCAGGCGGCTGCTCTCCATCCCCTTTTTGAGCACAACCGTGGCACCGCTGGAGCGTACAGCAGCGCAGGCCATGGCGCCTGGAAGACTCTCCTTTGCAGTATTACAGAAAGATGCCAAATAATTGATTTCCCTGATGGACACTAGCCACAGCTCAGGACCAGCCTTTAGCTAAGAGGCCCTCGGCTGCGGCCATGTGTGGGACTGTTCAGAGCGAGGCTGTTGAACAACAGGCAGCTGCTGTGGATCTGTCCCCTGGCCGGTCTCAGTGCCGTGCCCTGGGCTTCATGCGATGCTCAGTGCCACAGCTGGAAGGACGATGATCCGGCTCTGCTGGCGACAGGATTTGCGTATATACATGGAGGTGAGCCTGTTCGTGCGTGCAGGTTGTGCACGCAGCTGGGTGGTGTGGGTTACAAGCATGCAGGCAGCGATCGCTGGGCCTCCCACAGCACATGGGACAACAGCTCCTAGGGTAGTGTCACTCGCCAGCTGCATGGCAGCCTGGGTCTGCTGGCGCTCCCGTGGTACGTGGTGGTGTGCAGGGAGGCGCTGGCACAGCCACCCTGTTCTGTGCCTCGGCAGCAGTGAGTAGCGGAGACCGTGAGTGCCAGATTAACCGGGAAAGGCCACGGTGCCAGGCTTCTGCAGTGGCTCTGCGGAGGGATGCTGGCTGTGGAAGAGGAGGTGAGTCATGGGGCAGGGCCTAGATGTGCTTCGAGGCCATCAGGTGGGCAGAGATGTGGGTCAGGGCTAGCGAGGTTGGGCTGCTGGTGGAGCGGGACTGGGTATGGAGCATTTCAGAGCGTTTGACTGGAAGCAGATCAAGGGTCTGCCTGTGGGAACAGGCCTAGTGGCTTCACAGCAGGACTGGGGAGGTGGAGTTCCTGGGGCTCATCCCAGCTTGGTGCCAACGGGCTGTGTGAGAGGCGGCAAGACAGGTCCTCTGCTTCAGTTTCTATCCCTGTAAGTTGCTGCTTTAGGAGGGCCCCAACCTCAAAAGGCAGCAATGAGCTGTAAGTGCTCAAACTGGGCAACATTAATTGCTTAGTTACATTTGTGGCCACCTGCCTCTCCCAGGCAGCCTGAGCCAGCCCCAGCTAGCATGTGTGCAGGGAACAGGGGTCAGCCGGCCGGCACCTGGTGGCCTTTGGGCTGTGTCCGTTTGGCTCGTGCTCTTTGGGGCTTTACAGAACACCTGGAAAGGGGTTATTTTAGCCAGTTCGAAGCACTGATCTCCAGGAAAGGATCAGTGCCACAGGACGCATGGCGGGGAGCCCAGGAACTACAGTCTGTTTGTTTAGGGGTGCTTGTGCCTGGTCTGGCACACCAGGTCCTGCACCGTGGCCCACAGCACCACCACCACATACTCCCAGCTGGTAGCCTCTGTCCTCTGCCCCTCTCCCAGAGGCACTCCAGATGCTCGGGGATGCCAGCGGTCATTGGCGGTTTCTGCTGCCCAGTTTCTTCCGCTGACTGTCATCCGACTTGTGCACCCGGAAACACTCCTTCAAGTTCTGGGCTCGGATTTTGGGGTTCAGGATCTCCTCCCCCATAGAACTGGGGAACCAGCCCCTCTCCTGGTCGTGAAGACGCTCCCCAAATATCCAGCCTGAGCAGAGACAGAGACAGGCATAAATGGGGAAGGACTGGCCCTTGCTCCTGCATTGGGACGGTTGTGCTAGAAAGAGCCTACGGAGCTGGCAGTGCTTTCTGGAAGCTGCTCAGAGGCCTGTGCTGGAGCGGACCCAGTTTGTAAATCTAGCCAAGGAGGCCCGCTCGCCTGAGCAGCACTGTGTTTGGACAACTGGCTCAAGGGATGCCAGCAGAAAGCAGGCACTGCTGCCACTGAGTGCTCTCCGCTGCCCCTGATGCTACAGGAGCGGTCCCTAGCAGAGACCCAATGTGACCGAGACCGCCAGCTACAAGCGTGCCCCAGAGACCACGACCAGGTGGCTGTAAAGCATCACCAAGGTAAGAACAGCTCTGGGTTACATCTGGGGTGGCTGTGCCAGCCCTGCCACGGCCCACAGCCAGTGCCAGGGTAGCTGTGCCAGCATTGTCACAGCTCAGGGCAGCCTGGATTTGCCGAGTGTTAGGAGGAGGCAGTAACTCCCTCTTCCTGCTGTGAGCTCCCTTGGCTGCGATGCCGATGCCGGGGTCTTTCCCGGGTCGGAGGGACCCTCCTGTCTGCTCGGCAGTAGCCTGCCTAGAGCAAAGCCCACCCTTCCACAGGGACGCCCGGCCTGTCCCCATCCCGTCCCCCGTACCGTCATCTGTCTTGTCCAGGATGTTGAGGACATCAGCCAGTTCTAAGGACAGCTCATCTGGCTGCTGGGCCACGTATGGGTGGACACACTGGATCTGCGGGCAGTCTGCCAGGGAACAGAGCAAGAGGGAGGGATGGAGCCTGCTGCAGGGTAGCGTGGCTCGGGTGGGTGTAGCACCACGAGCTCTGCGAATGGCCCCTCTGATCTGGTAAGAAACCCCGCAGATGCCAACGGGTGCCCCAGCTACAGGGACTGGGGGAGCATCTCTGTGGGGAAGGGAGCTGGGTGCACATCACCACCACAGTGCCACCCATGAGCTGCTTGGGTGGGAGGGAGAGTGCTGGTGCAGCCCAGCCCAGGTTGGAGGGGAGAAAGGTCAGGGCCAGGCCCAGAGACAAGTGGGTATCGATGGTGGAAACGCAAGGGAAGCCCAGGGAGAGGGTTCAGCTTCGGCAGAGGCCCCAGGCCTGGGGCTGAAGTGACATCAGGGCAGAATAAGGTGCCCTGGGGTAGAGGTGAAGAACTCCTGGCTCCCATGCTGTGTCTCTTACCAACAAGTCTGGAAGTGAATGAAACGAACTTGGTTCTCCGGTTCGGGGCTAGTGAAATCATCCAGCGCTTCATTTCGCTCCTGGATAGGGGAGACAAACAGAGGCCGTGAGCACGAGACAGTCGTAGGGACCCCAGGTCTCCTGCCCAGCCACCCCTGAGCTCCTAATTCCTCCTCTCACAGCCCTTTCCTGCCTGCCCCCCCTGGGGTCCTGGACTCACTGGTGATGCTGAGCTGCCCTCTTGCATATGCCGGTTGGGATGTCACATATGCCATAGTGCCCTGGGCCCTGCTGCACAGGCCTTGGCAGGGCCACCAGGCTGGCTGTCCCCACAAGCAGCAGGATCACCCTCTGGGGAGCAGCATGGCTTCAGAGAGCCAGCAGCAGGGTGGGGGGCCTGGCATCCTCTGAGCTCTAACCAGCAAAGGCAGCTCCTGGC